CCATTCGTCGGAGCGTGGCGGAGGCGAAGATGCTCAAGACAAGCTCGGCTGCGTACAAGAAACAGTCGGAGCGTCTGCAGACGATGAGCAAGGCAGGTTAGCCTTCTGCCAAAAAGCATGAGACAGAGGAGGGGTCCTCTCTCCTGCCAAGTAAAAGGCGCGCCGGCCCAACTGTAGCCCCTACCCCTGCAGCGTCTTCTCCTCCCCCGACCGACGTGGGGTTTAGTGTGGCGGCCCCACCCTCTGCCCAGGCCATCATGCCCATTACTGCGTGTTTTGTTGAAGGGGCGACCAAGAAGAGGTAGAAGAGGCCAGCCAATGCGACGGCCAGGGGCAAAGTCACTGATTTTTTGGGGAACAAGGACGAAGATCTGTCCGAGGCGGTGCTGGAGATGCTCCCAACAGAAATCGCATCGGTCGCAAGGGTCCACAGTAAATACTGGATCGAAGACTGGGCCAATCACGCCGCCTCGTATAACATCGAGGACCTGCTGGCGGCGAACAACGCCTGCGTGGCCAGGGCCCTAAGTATGGGCGCCGCGGCCTAAGATTTGGTGCGGGGCCTCCGGAAGAAAAACGAGGACCTAGAGAAAAGGGTGGAAGCCTCTTCTAACTGGGAGATGGAGGTGGAGAAGGCGAAGAAGGAGCTGGAGGAGGTGGAGGAGAAGTGGATATCGACCTCTTCGAAACTGGATTCGGTCGAATACGAGGCCAACCGCCTGAAGCATGAGTTGCACGAGTCCATCTCTCAAGTGGTGGCTCTGACAAAGAAGGTGGATCAGGCCAATGAAGACCAGAAGCTCACATCTGAAGCCCTTGAGGAGGCCAACAAGGAAAGGGTTGAGCTGAAGAAGCTTACTGAAGGCCAGGCCGATGAGATAAACTCGTTGAAGGCCGAAGCTAAGACAATTGGATAAGTGGCGATCCAGAACTATAAGGACAACTTTGAGAATACGCCGGAGTATGACGAATTCGCCAATTATTGGACCTCCTGGGCGGCAAAAGAGATGATGACCCTCCTCCGTGAGAGGCATCCCGACTTGGACATCAATTTCCTAGAAGAAGAGTTCGGGGGCCCCATTGGGGACAGGCCGTCGAGGACGAAGAAGCCCCTCCAGAGGAGGCCGAAGGCGAGGAGCCCGAGGTAGTAATTAATGTAGATTAGTTCGCAACTCTTTTCTTTTTATATGTAATGGCTTCGGCCTCTTCCTACCTGACAATGATTCAATTTTTCAAAGTATTGTTGCTTCTTCTCTTGTTCATTTGCTGTATTACCTTGTAGAATGGCTCCGAACAAATAATATCGCATCGGACTTTCAACCACTTAATAAAATGGAAGA